ACAATGTCACATTGGATAGATTCCTTGTTAAGGTTTCACAAAATGAAAAAGATTCCATTGAGTCAAGAGATAGCAGTGATTCCGTTAGTGATAGTGAAAGTCGTCCTGCACAATAATCCCCCTCTCTCTTGTCCCCCTCACCCCAGCCACAAAGGTACCGGTAATTGGTTTATTTTTCTTTAGATTTTATACAGTATTATACTACAGTACAGTATTGTAATAATTTTTATATGAATATTTTTGGGTTGTGGAACGAATCATCTGAATTTCCATTATTTCCTATGGGGAAATTCGCTTTGATATACAAGCGCTTTGGATTACAAGCATGCTTCCGGAACGAATTATGCTCTTAAACCAAGGTGCTACTGTATACGTATTCTACCTCCTGTTGGAGTGCTGGTGTCCATATTCTTTTGTATTACCGAGACGGTGGCCATCCGTCGACTACCGTTGCACCCATGTTATCCTAATGGATGAGCGGTCAGGAGTGCAATGGGTACATGGACTGTAACCGCATTTGCTCCAGCAGGTGCACACTGGTGTGCATCGCGCAACAAAGCACATACATGGCACTACAGATTGGGCGTTACTACAATGCACAGATGTGAAGTCAAGTCGCTTAAGCTTAAATCGCTTATTTACGCAAAAGCAAAACGTTACTGCTCACATCAAAATGGTGGATTAAGAGCAAATATCTTACCACCAGATTCCCTGAGAGACATCAAATATATATGACCTTTGGAGGAGCTGACCCTTTTCCAGTGTTGAGATAACAAATCAGACCTCTCCAGGGGAACTATATGCTGTACATACTGCAGGGATTTCAGCACATTATTTTGTAGATCTTCTTCCCTTTTTTCTGAAGAAGCCGATGTTTTCCTGACCTTTCTTGAACTCACTGGGAAAGTAGGGGTTTATTATGATCTTTGCAATAGGAAAAGAAGTGCAGTCTGCATTCCTTTGTATGAACAGTCCTAGAACGTATATCAGCCTAAATGAACCGCCTATTGCAGGGGGTGCCTCTAAATCAGACTTTGAGCTATGTGCAGATCGCTGGAAAAAAGCGGAAAGTGATATAATTCCACATTCATGAAAAAAGTGGGCACGTTGCCAGTTTGCTATGTTGTGAGAAAGCAACATTTTAATTTCTCAGCAGTTTTAGAAAATCACACTACCTGCATAATGAATTAAGTTCATTTTTAATAACATTAAATTACAAAATTATTTTGTGCAGCAATTTTATACATAATTTTTTGACAAACAGTGTCGTGTTCTTTTAAAGACATTATCTGTGTTTAGCCTGAAATTTGCGTTCAAGCAATGTTTCACCTGACTTAAGATGATGTTTATTCCCTCAGAACAGCTTATCTCGTGCAAGCTCATTTTTGTGGAATGACTGCACCACAGTCTTCAAATCCGCCATGTTTATTATATCAAAATTCAAATATTGAATATATGTGTATAAATAATATAATCAGATTTGATTCAGTGTCATTCAGTCCATTGGCCGCATGTTTGGATCTAATCAGTCATCTGTCAAGGAGCACCAACGAGAAATAATGTCCTTCAAGTGATGATGCCGAGGGAACTTCATGAATGTTTCATTTATTGTTATTCAAAACCTTCACCGTTTTCTGTCCGTAATGATAATAGCTGTATCCCGAGGCAGCAGTTGAGAAAGCAGTGATACACCTATGGGAGCAAAACAAGAATTGAAATGTGATTTATTTTATGGTCTTACTTCAAGTGAACTTGTGCCCAGACTATGCACACAAAAGTATTTACATATTCTGAACAAGCAGCAAAAGCACTTTGGAAACAAGGCCCCATTTATTTCTGTAGCTATAGACATTGTGGAAGAATTCAGCTTTATAATTTCACAACTAGACAATTGCACACCAGCCCTCCAATATAAACACAAAGCAGTGGCTTTCAAGCTAAACTGGCTAAGGCCTCGTTCACACCATCCTCAGTGCGTTCCAGCCCGATTGTTGCCAGAATGCACTGGATCAGTTTGTTGTGTGGCGGTGCATTGAAGTTAATGGCACCGCAGCCCTCAATGCAATGCGATTGGCAGCACGGGAACGTTAGACACATCAATGCCTGTGGTCCGGTCAGAAGAAATGCTGCAAGCACTTTTTTCTGACTGGACCAGAACGCAGGCATTGGTGTGCCACACGTTCCCGTGCGGCCAATCGCATCTTCCCTACATCCAATCACTATCCAAATCCTGCCGCCTTCACCTTCGTAACATCGCCAAAATATGCCCCTTCCTCACCAAAGGAACCGCAAAATTACTCATCCATTCACTTGTTATATATCTCGTCTTGACTATTGCAACTCCCTCCTCATTGGCCTACCACTGCACAGGCTATCCCCCCTTCAGTCCATCATGAATGCTGCTGCTGCTAGAGTCATCCACCTAACCAACCGCTCAGTGTCTGCCTCTGTCGATCCCTACACTGGCTTCCACAATAGCCCAAAGGATAAAATTCAAAATATTAACAACGACTTACAAAGCCATCCACAACTCCGCCCCCGGCTATATCTCCAACCTTGTCTCAAAATATCGCCCTAACTGTCTCCCTAGTCAACTCCTCTCATGCTCGCCTCATCAATTTTGTCCAGCCATAATTATTTGTTGTATTATTTAAATTAGGGATGCACCGATGCTAGTATCGTTATAAGTGCCAATACAGAGTATTTGGGTGAGTACTCGTACTCGCCCAAATGCTACCAATGCCTATCCCAATACCGGAACTTCCGGTATCAGGAAGTCCTTACATGCTCCCCGGGTTCCTGATTAGCCACTTGGTGACGAGGAAGTATGGAGCCGGCTTCCTGCCTAATCAGGAAGCCAGGCGGTGAGTCATTAGGGACTCACCGCCTGGTGCCACACAGCTTCCTTAATAGGACTTCCGGTATCGGCGACTACTGAAAAAAAAAATTGGAGCTGGCTTCCCAGCCATTAAGGAAACTGGGTGGCGTGTAATTGCTGCCCAGCTACCTGATTGGTCAGGAAGCTGGAGGGTGAGTGATTACAGGCCACCCGCCTCTCTTAATAAGACTCCCGGTATCAGTGAATACCAAAAAAATAAATATCACTACTCGATACCGAAAAACCGGTATCAGTGCATCCCTAATTTAAATAGTCTGTTAAATCAAAAGGCAAAGTCAGGTTTTATTGAATAAACTGATGATGCCAATTACTGTTGTTGGCTCCAAGTTATTTCAGAGAAAATTGGGTCTTTTTTTTTTTTTTTTGTGGTACCAACAAAATGTGTCCATTGTTGTAAAAGGCATATGGAGTTTTGTTGATGTTACCGTGTTGAAGCAACCTTTCTGCTGTCCCAGCCAAGATAAAGAATGCCTCTAGGGCAGTGATGGCGAACGTTTTTGAACCCGAGTGCCCAAACTGCGACGCAAAATCAATTTATTTATCTCAAAGTGCCAGCGCTGAAAATAAGTTTAGCATTGTATTGCAGTTTGGGCGCTGGGCTTTAAAAAACAAACATTCAACATCACTGCCTTAGGCAAAATAGGGAAACACACATATTCAAACATTTATACACTCAATAAAACACACATCACACACTCATTATAAAAAGAAACCACACATACATAGATATCACACACATTAAAAACACACGCACACATAATGAAACACACACATTAAAAAATATATTTGTAAAAAAAAAAATTTTAATCTTGGGGGGGGGTGCTTTGGGAAATATTAGAGGTCTAAACAGCCCCCTGATATTTCCTTTTTAAAATAGAAAAAGAAATTGAGGACACAAAGTCCTCAATCTCTTTTTTTTTTTCTTCTTTTTTTGCAGCCTCTGTTCTAAATGAATGGAAAGCACAGAGTCTTCCCATTTCATTCAGAAACTATTTACTATCAAGCAGTTTCTGAATGCGGAGGAGCCTCTGATGTAAATCATGTCCTGATGTCGGAATGGTCGGAATTTTTGAATCCTCTTAGAACAAAAGACAATTAAAGTTCTTCTATGCTGGTTATGCCTGAGAGTTCTGAAACAAACAGGATATGACCCAAGGCACTGCATTTTCCTTATCTGAAGTGCTATTATAGCCACTGCTAATACACTAGAAGCAAACTGTTCCACGCAATAACTCTTCACACACCAGAAAAAATGCAATAACATCGGCCAACACAAAATTAGAATCTGAGTTAGTAAACTGGAATAAGCTGTTTGGTATGGATCACTACATAGCATTGATCTTTGCATATTAACAAAGCCCCAACATGCACAGCTTCAATTATAATTTAGGCTTAGATCACTTACCATAGTACCTGAAGATAGACACTATCCACATAATTAAACACAGGAGCAGCTAATGAAGCAGCTACCAGTATTAACTGAACTCCAGTGTTCATCTGAAAGGCAACAAAAATCATTTAAATGAGCACACTCACTGCACACAATTGCATTATCTACACCTAATAACACATTAAACTTATTATCAAGAATGTTTAACATGCTAAATTATTAAAAGCTGCACACAGAAATCTGAATTTTTGGCTAGAAAACTGATTAGAAATATATATATATATATATTTCCTAAAAAGCAGATGTCCTGGAGAGCAAAAAAAAATTCTAGTTGTTTTTAACTTTTTAATGTTGCACGATATTTGTGCAAATGTTTATAAAATCAATATTTTTAGGAAAAAAATAGCAATGAATATTAATTCAGGCAAACAGAACAGAACACCTATTTTTTGGCAATATATAACAGGTGGGGTTGTGTCAGGTAAATAGATACCAAACATGTCAAGCCTTACATATTTCCATGCCTGTAAAATGGCATTAGAAAAAACAAAACAAAAATACTTTACCCCAAATTGCTGAGAGATGATTCTCCAACAGCCTTTACCACTTATCAATTTAGAGTGAACAGTGAGTGTTAAAATGATTGCTTGCACTCAGACATTTGTGACATATATAATTAATGTGTGGCACAATTTCCGTT